GTGACACATGCACAACCGGGTAAAATATGTACCTACTTCGGTCGAGAAGTTCCAGCTCGTAGGCAAACTCTTCTACTTTCCTCTTTCCCTGAACGGTCCATGCCATCGGTGTGCAAGTTTTTTTCGTTCGCCCTGGCTTCATTCGTTCCATATATAACCACACTCGGCTCCCGACCTCAAACAGAGACGTCGTTGCGCCTGTAGCATTGCTGTCCGAGTTCTCGATCACTGCCCCTGTCGCAGGCCGTTCGTCACTTGGCGTAACGGTTCGGCCTGTTTCTGGGGCTGTACCTCTTTGTCGACCACGGAGGCTTTCATTGTGATTCTTCGCTCTCCGAGCTTTCTCGGTGGCCTGATATTCCTTGGCCATTTTCAACGCTATTTCTTGCTGGCGGTTTACTTCTCGACGCCATGCCAGTGCGTCTGACTGTCGACCGAGTCCTCGTTTGACGACGAGGACATCGCCTTGAGTGTAGACTGAGCACCCCACCCATGGACGAGAAAAAAGGGTGTCTCTTTCCTCGTTGTGTCCATTGAGTTGTTGATCGCAAAGATCAGCTTCTCAGCAATCTCGTCCCAGTCTTGTTGCAGTGGGTCTTTCCCGTACACTCACACTGATTGCATGGCGGTCTTGACCGAGCGCTCTTGCTGGCCATTGGCCTGGGGCCGGTAACTCAACGTTGCCCTAGACCTTGACTGCATCATTTCGGTGAACGACTGGATCACCTCGCTCATGAATCGAGGGTCCCTGTCATGTCTGATGAAAGAAGGTGCACCGAACCTCCGGTACACGCATTTTTCAAGAGCTTGAGCTACTCTCAGAGCAGTCGTGTCTGCCGTAGCTTTGCCCATCACATACCCCGTGAATGCGCATTGCAACAGTAAGACCGCTGTGTTACCCCGCCGAGGCTTCGGTAAGGGTATTACAAAATCCATCGAAACAACCTGAAACGGTCGTTCCGCTTGTAAGTTCCCCGGAGAGTATCCGCGGATCCTTGGTCGACTTTTGCTAGAGCTACAGTCGGGACAGGCCCGCACGTGCCTCGCCACATCCGCGTATAGACCGATCCAGTAATTGTCCAACTTCATTCTTTAGAAAGTCTGGGCGATGCCTTGATGGTCTCCTTCTAACGAGTCGTGGCAGTTCTGTAGTACCTCTTGAATCATCGTTGAGAGTACCACTAGACGCAGCATTGCGTCTTCTTGCTGCTGGTCACTCCTCAGAAGCCTCGTTCCCACATAGTGGAGTACATCGTCCTCACGTAGGACGAAGTGATCGGACATTTTCCACGCGTCTCTCGCTGCGCGGTACGTTAGGGTTGATTCGTCCCCGCGGAGAACTATCTTCAAACTCGCCCACAGTAACTCCTCGTCCTGAGTGGTCGTAAGCCTTCTTCGACGTTCTTCCTAGACTGTTAATGGATTCACGTCTTCCGCGTTAGACGACACGTAGATATCACAGTAGGGTACCGTTACCCTTGATAGCTCTGCTTCCGGACGGACTGAATCCTCTGTTGGCACACCGTTAGCTTCCTCTCGTTGCGTTGTTACCTGTCACCGAGGTTTCGTCGGCGAATCTGACGCGTTTAGTCTTCGACTTAGCTTGGAGTCTGGTCGTTACCGTTAGGTCCTCTATGTCCCTTCGCACAAAATCGAAGAAAGTTTTTCGACGCGGCTCCAGGACAGTTCCGGATCGCCATGACGGTTCCATGTGTAGCAAATGTCGCGTCTGAACTTGCGCTTGTGCAATGCTAACCGAGGGTTCGTCCGCCGAGGACTCGGTGATGGGTGCATAGATTACCCCTTGGATGCGGTTCAGTGACCTCAACTCTGCCAGCCTAAGCTCGTCAGATATAACGTTTGACACCGACGCCCTTTTGTGACCGTCTGATTCGACTCAGACTCAGATTATCTGTCGATCACTCTGGTCCTTTCCCGTCACTTGCGCCCCGCGCTGCCGGCCAACTGCCACATCGGGTTGCCGCACCTTTCGCTGCACTTCATCACGCAATTTCCAAGCCACTCCACCACATATTCTCGTACAGCGTGTAAGTACTTGACTGACTTTAGTCGTGCAACAGCTCTCGGTGGCGGTTGAGTTGGGTCATAAGCGACTAGTTCTCGGTCATGTTCACTGTTGTTGCTTCGAGATAGGCACTCGCAGCGGTGACTATTGTCCAGTGAGGTAGTCGCCAGACGATCCATGAGTAACTACCGTAGCCATCGTATTTCTCGGTTTTGGCCGATCCGTCAAACGAGACCACGAGCCCA